GCTTCTAAAGAAGGTTAAAAGGGTTGACTGGAGCATCCACCAGTGTATCCATCACTAACAAACTACATCTTACCATTGAAAGCTGTAACAAGTCAAGCATAAGAATGTTATTATAAAGCAAAATAGATTTAATGGGAAAAAAAAAACAAAAAACTAAAATAAACCACAAAAAAACCACACCAAAAACTCAACAGATATTTATTTATTTATTTGCTCCAGTCATTAGTGGAAGAGTAGTTGTCTCCTTTAGCCCAGAGCAATGTAGCTATGTGATATAAATTATGTGATATATTTACTGTCCCCTTAGCCTTGCAATTAACCCCCACCCCCAGAACCGCCCCTAGAGTGAACTGGCTTGTTATCAAATGCTTTGCATCCTCAAACCATAAGTAAAATGTATCCCTCAACCAATTTCTTATGAGAAGCTGAAAAAAGTTATTTTTTTTTCACAAATTGAAATTGGTCCAGGACTACCAAAGACAAAAAAAAAAATAAATAATGAAATGAGTAAGCTAAGAGAAAAGAAAGAAAAAGGAGCAAAAATCATGCACTGCACAAGTAGAATAATGAAGGACATGTAGTATCCTAGAAGCGACACAATTCTCTTCCAAGTATTGTTATTCCACAGCTCAAAATCACATCCTGAGAACAGCAAGGAAAAAACCACGCTAAGCTCTCCAAGGTGTTTTGGGGTCACGCCGCTGTGTTTCAAAGGATCCGTGTCCTGCAGGGGAGGCAGAGCAGCGCTCGCGTGTCCCAAACCCTTCCCGAAATGTCCCACTGTGACTGCAGCTGCCTCGGGGATCCCCGCAGGGACCCGGGCCTACAGCACAGGCCTGCCCCACCGGAGGGTGACCCGGGAACACCTCCAGCCACACCTGCGCCAACACAGAACACGAGCAGGCCGAAAGAAAGGGAAAGGAAAAGGAGGGTGGGGAAGGAGGGAAAAAAGGAAACAAAAAAAAAGAGAGAAAGGGAAAAGGCAAGGCAAAGGAGCCGCTGCCCAGGAGCCCCACGCTCCCCCATGGCACCGACTCC